GCCGGCTGGGGCGGCGGCGGCCCGGCCGCCGGATCCGGCAGGGGCAGGAGGGGAGGCGCGGCGGTGGCCCAGCCGGCAGATCTGGCAGGGGCGGGAGGGGAGGTGCGTCGCCGAGCCGGCGGGGGCAGCGGCGGTGGCCCGGCCGCCAGATCCGGCAGGGGCGGAACGGGAGGCGCGGTGGTGGTCTGGCTAACAGATCCGGCAAGGCCGAGGGCAGGGGCAGTGGCGGACGACGGATCTGGAGCCGTGGCGCGGTGGCGGCCGACGGCGGTAACGGTCTCCACCTCCGCCGCCTCTGCCGGTGACGCCTCCAGCCGCGCCTCTGCCTCCGCCCGCGCTAACCGGCCGCCACCTACACCTCCAAATCCGCCGGCGCCTCACCCCGCCTCCCGGCCACTAACGCCACCGACGCCTCCCCTCCCGTCGTCGGCCGCCCCCGCGCCACCGCGCCTCCCTCCCGCCCCTGCAGGATGCGGGAGATCTCCAGCGGATCTTCTTCGTCCCTGAGGATCGGTGGTGGTTGCCGGTGGTCGCCTCGAGGTGGTGGGTGCCAGATCTGGTCTGCAGGTGGTTCGGGATCACCGGATCTGGAACCCCCGGGCTCCTACCACTGCCTCCTTCACCGTCCGAGCTCCTTCACCGGTCGCCTCCCCCCGTAACCTTCTTGACGCCAGATGCGCCGCCTCCATCCACGTACGAGCTCAGATCCATTGCCAGCAAGTCCTCTTTCACCCATGTATTTTGTCTTGTGTTGTTTATATTGTTCCAATTGTTGCTACTGTGATTGATGATTCTGAGTCCTATGGTGATTGAGATTCTTGTGATTTTGTTTTTTGATTGGGACAACTGCGATGGAACAAAGAAGAATTGTGATGAATTTTTTGATTTGTGAATGCCAAATGCAATCGGACGAAATGAATGTGATGGTAACCTAGGAGGATGGTGTTTCTCTTCTTTTTTCCCCCTTTTTTTCACACCAGTGACGGTCCCAATTAGTTGGGCCGTTTGAAGTGACTCTCACCTGTGACGGGTTTTGGTTGGGACCAGTCAGAGGTGACTCTCACCTGTGACGGGTTTTAGTTGGGGGCCGTTTGAGGTGGCTCTTACTTCTGATAGGTCTTCACTCGTCACAGGTGACTCAAGTCATCAGTGATCACTAATCTCTGACCGGGAGCTAAACCCGTCAAAGTTGAGGGTTTGAGCCCGTCAGTGCTGACCTGATCCAGTGTAGTGTTACCGTATTATCCCGGTAATTACCGTTTATATATTCCGGTAAATTACCGTTTTTACAAACATCACTGGCCGGCTGGCCCAAGTTATTTTTCTTTGGCCCATTTTCTCGGCCCAACAAAAACCGTAAATCCCTAACCCTAGAGCTGCTTGGCTGCTCTACCCAATCCCCCAGTCAACCTGTCCTAAGTCGCAACCAGCGTCGTCGTACTCTTACGCGGTGGCACGGCGGCGCCAGCACAGTGACAGCTCTGGTCCGTTCCCCAGCGATGATTGCGCTAGCCGGCTAAGCTTCCTCACGACGTCGCCTCCTATTGCGGCCGCCCCCACCACCTCACGGCAGCAATGCCCTCTAGCATGCCGTCCGGGAGCTTGCCGGCCGGCTCAGCAAATATTGTAGCCGGTGATGATACAGTTGTCGAAGAAAATGATGACCATGATGAGTTGCATCCGGTCCAACAATGTTGCTGTTGCTCTGTGGAGTATAAGAGAACTTGCTATGTGCCTGTGTTTATGTATCTCGTATTATTATGCTTTATCTTTATGAACTTGGGGAATAATTACCGTCAGATTTATAGTTATCGTCGAATACGATACATTTATAATTATCGTCAAATATTTATAACCATTCTAGATTGCTAGCTAAATATGTGTTGTTAATTATCGACTTCCGATCGATACCGATATATTTCCGATTGAATAATTCTATTTTAGATTTACTGATATTTCCGATATCGTTTCCGTTACCGGGTTATCGTTATCGATTCCGTTTCCGAAAAATAATATGGTTGCGGTAATGGTTTAGGGTGTTTCCTGATCGTTTCCAACCTTTTTCATCCCTAGCGTTTCCAACCTTTTTCACCCCTAGGGAGGGGTACAAGGATTTCTCTGCTTTTACAATTATAGATACATGGATTATTCTATGCACAGTTTACTCTAACATAATAAACGGTATGTTTTTTTCCCAAAAACATTCATATTGATATTTTCTAGAGAAATCCATTCGACTTCATATTATTTAGATCTCGTTCGTTTGTGCCCTTAAACGTTACTTGATAACATCCGAAGACCCTACTAGTTATCGATCGTTGTCTTTAATTTGCACACATGTACCATCCTCAACCTCGTGCTGGACAACAGCAGCATCCCATCCAGCATGCAGTCTAAGATAGGGTTCAATATTTTAGTTTTAAATTTCGGAAACTTTTCCCAGCAGAAAACTGATTTCAGGGTCCGGACATAAAATTATTTCTTCCGACTATTTCGTTTCTTTTATGAATTTAACAAAATTTATTCAAATGGCACAATGCCATCTTGACCTTGTCTGGACAGGTTGTGGCCTTTTAATTTCCAGCTCTTCTCGAAAGCTATACCTGGGTAGCTTCCAACCTTCATCACAGCAGACATCATATCTTCATGGGAGGTCAATTTTTATCAAGAAAATTGTCCATTTTACTCCGAAATTTTTCACAGGAGTACTTAACCCCCTAAATAATTTCTCAGCTTATTTTACACCCGAATTTTTATAAATGGTTTACTTTACTCCCTAACGATATTTTTTTCCTTTTCATTTCTCTCTATATTGATCATGTTTTCAAATTTGGGAGATTAGTGTATGCATTATAATTATCTCTTCATTATTTTTTTGGAATTTTTTAAACGTTGTTTACATTGTTTGGAAGCACTGAGATCAATTTAAACATCAAGGTTTTAAATTTTAAGCAAATAGTCATGAAAAATTTTGAAAAGATTTTAGAACTTTGATAATTCTGTCACTATGGCTCTTCAAAATTTAAGATTAAAATACGACTCATATAAAGAGAACAATTTTAATAGTTTACAAGGTAAAAGGAGTCGAAAAAATAGTTTAAGAGTTAAGTGATCCAATGAAATAGTTTAGGAGAGTACATTGGATTTTCTTAATTCCTTTTATCATTGAACGATAGAAATCTGGCCTTTATGTCTGCATGTGGATATATATAAAACCAAAACCAAAACCTGCAGTGAGCTTACTACTCCCTAATCTCGTCAATCAAATTTAATTTCCATGACCTGCATTCACAATTTTTTGTTAGGATTTAATCTTTCTATTCTCCATTTTGTTATCACTGCAATACTCAAAACTTAATGGTTGAGAAAATATCTCAAATACCAACACTTAGTCATTTTTGGGCATCCAAATTAATCACTTCACATGGTTGTAGTTCAACGGTCTTACAAATTCTATGATACCACTTATTATAACGGATACAGAAGGTTTGATGGTTTTGATAACCTTTTTATAATCATCTGTGACGAAGTAGTATTTACTTAAAAGGTTCAAATTGGAACCATGAAGAACTGATGAATGACTGGATAGAACCTAGAAGGAACGCAGAGGGAGTAATTTAGTACACCATATTACTTCTCAGTTTTTTCAAAAAGATGATAATCCCTCCTTTTTTAAGTATATGGTATTGCTAACTTTTATACATAAGTTTGGCCATTTGTCTTACAAAGAAAATTTACATAATTATTATTTGTTTTGTCATTACAGGTAGTCTATCTATAAGCATCACTTATATTTTTTCATATTTGCACAAAACCTTTGAATAACATAAATAATAAAAACGTATGTCCAAAATTTAGCGGCGACAAATATGTTAAAAATGGAGGGAGTATTACCTCCCAAGTCACAACTTATGCAATTACTTTTTTAATTAAACTGATAGCATACTGATCAATCCAATGTCCTAAAACGTATACTGCAAAACGTAATAATTTGATGAGGTGTTGCTTCTTCATCATCTTGCACATGCACAGTACCCTATCACCTAATTTGCTCTTTAGCCCATCAAATGTAGGTAGAGAAATACTCCATCCACTAATTTTCCGTCATTTCTGCAGTTTGTCCACTTGATATTGTCGATCGTGCATGATCTTTTTTCCAATGAGTAGTGATTACAATGCCATGAACAGCATCGCATACTCCAGGCATTGCCTAGAATACAGCATTGTTAACCTCCTATAAATATCATAAAAATATCCTGAGTAATATACAAATTAAGACTTGGCGATATATATGCACTTCAAATTCGTAGGTGTGTGATTCTTACATAGTTCATGAATTAGACAAATCTGTTTATATATGTTTACAGATTACTACTGCTTGTTGTTATGCTCATCTAATTTTTCTTCTAATTTTTATTTGGTTTTGCACGCAGATACCAAAGGATCCCAAAGTATGAAGTCTGCTCTTGTTACTGTACTCGTTGTTCTTCTTTTGATTACAAGTTCCACTGCTCTGGCAAGGAAGTTGGCTGCAGATGATGGACAGCAGAAAGCCGAGTCGCAGGCGAAATCGGAGGTTAACATCGATGGAAAGCCATCTTCTGGCTATGGTGAACATGTCTGCCCAAGAGACATGTATCCCAATTGCTTCCAAAGGATGAAGAAGCTCACTTCTTCTAATCACCTCGGATGAAAGGAGGATTTCATCACAAGGGGGAGGTTTGGGTTATACATGTAAATCATCTATATATTCCGGATGTGTGAGTGTGTCCATTCCATATCCTCCTATCTTCTGCTTAACTTCATGGGTTAACTAGTTATCATGGTATGCTTATTAAAGCACTTCCCTAATTTGTACTGGAATAAACAGAACTGAAGGAAGCTAATTTGGATATTGATTCAACAAGCAAAAACGGACTTCCTTTCATGTTTGATCAACCTGGAATGCATGGTTTAGGTTATTATTGTCGTGGAAAGATATGTGCATCATGGATAGAGAGTAAGGAATCGAATTGGGGTTAATTATCTTCAACAAAAGAAAAAACAATACAATTAATACTCAAACCACAAAAAATAGAAAGAAAAGATTACATGAAACAGAAAATTGTTACAGGTAGTATTGTAGCCGAGATGAATGAAAACCTTCTGGCTCTATTAGAGAGAAGGTTTATTCATTGAAGCATGCAAGATAGATAGGTTGCAATTTTGCGCAGTTATTTGGATTAACCACTTGACTAGCAATCCTTGGTACACATGCAGCGGCGCCGGAAGCCGCTGCACTTGCCTCCGGAGAAGCCCTCAGTCAGGCACACGTTGGCGCAGTTGGCCACCATCATGCAGATCCCCTTGAACTCGTTGCTTGGCGTCTCGCACTCCCTTGCCTGTGCAGCTGGTACCATCTCAAACAACAAAATATTAACATGGCTAAAACATGAAATCATGGTTTTTCATCCATATATACCAGACCAGATAAGTCGTCCTAATAATACACCATGTCAACTGAATATGTGTTATAGTATTTCTACCACTAGCGGAAGTCACAAAATTGAAATTTAATGATGTTGGAATGTATGTGACACTGACGCAAAAAGTTAGAAGCCAAAAAATATTAGGCCAAAAATCCTTTCAATTTTTGGTAGACGAAAGAAAACAAAATCTGGTATTATGATCTATACACATGAATATATGGATTGTCCCACCAAAAATTTCAATCGAAAGGAAGGGGTCAAATTAGGTAGTTGGTTCTAAATATATGTGATTTCGGACTTAACCAGATCATATTTAGAATAATAACTCGCAAACTGAATTTCATAAAGTGCTATACATATAGGATGACATGACAGAATGGAACTATTGGTTGTTCTATTGTTTATTCAGCAAAGTTCAGTGGTTTCTCCCAAACTAATTATGTCGTCTCTTTATATTTCTTCAGTATCAAAACTTATTAGGTATGTGCCAAACATAAAGAGGCAGCAGATGGTGTAAACAATTTCCGTTATCTAAGAAAATGAACAAAAAGCTGGAACATGGAAAAGGATGTAAACCACATGTAGCTAACTCAGATATGTATATATATACTCCTACTGTACCTGTGGTGACAACGAGCAGGAGGAGAACTACAATTGTTGGGAAGAACTTGCGTGATGTCTCCATTTTGATCGATTTGTCTTTGTGTTGATGATCAAATTTGGCACTAGTATTGAATCCCTTGTAACTATGATAATTGAAGTGATTGTGGCGAGGTTTATATATAAAGAGAGCCAATATCATGCAAGTAACGAGAACCTTAGGAAATTTATAAATTGTATGTATATTTTTTTAACTGAGCACTCTATATATAGTTTTCCGGTTATTATTAGTAAAAAGGTGGGTGGCATTGCGACTTTTGCTGTGAATCGCACATTCTTTTCACCATGCACACAGAGGTTTTTTCATAATTAAATGTTTTGATTTCTAGATATAGATTAAGTATGTATATATATATATATATATATATATATATATAGCGAGATACTATACTACACCTAGGGTGTAGTACAGCTAAAACACACCCACACCCCCTCCCCCACAGCCCTCGATCGAGTGTTAGATTGCGCAATTAGTTGGTGTTTTATTTTGCTACATGATCTGTCTGCTCGATTGATCTCTATAGACTATAGCTTCTGCCTTTTTTTGGAGGAAGCACAGCTGCTGTGTTTGGTCAACTAATTGCAGCTTATTTGCCGGCGCCAGATATGTGTTGATTGCTTGTGTTCCTTCGTGAGTTTGTATAATGTACATGCATGTCCCATTGATCCATCGTGGATCAATTTGTTCCTGTTTGGCTAGTTGCATCTTCCTTGCTGCACTTTAATTTGCACTGGGTTAAATTAAGCTATACACTTCAATTAACCCAAAGTTCAACCCAGTGATGTTTTAGCACCTGTGCAGTGATGTTTTAGCATCTGGAAACACCTTTTCCTATTTTTATTGTGTGACTGAGCTGAACATAATAATTTCACAAATTTGTTGAGTCAGGCCTGTTGAAAACATATAGTTGCTGGCTGTTTTGCTTCCAGTTCCATAATCATTTTGTTTCCGTTCATATCCTTGTGCATTTTTAATACATAGCATCTGCAATTATTGAGGAAATCAAGTGCAATTTTCAGTTTTGTTTCATTCTACCTGTAATTCTGGATCCGTTTTTGTTCAGATATTTAAGTGGGAAACAAACTTACTATGAGAAATTATACTCCTTTCTTTTACGTGCTCCCTCTAGCTGTTGATGTGCCATTCAGACTAATCTTTCTGTTTGTGTTGTCATGCTCTGTGATTTCAATTTCCTAGCAACAACATGATGAATTAGGAGCGTACCTGATATTTCAGTTTTATAACTACACATTATTCTTGAGCAAAAGCATAACATGATTAGGAGGCTCTCTGAATTTTTTTTCTCATCCGGAGAGGCAGAAAGTGGTGTCCTCCTGTTAACTGCGTTGGTGCATGTCAGGTCTAGGGAGGAGTGACGGCGAGGATGGCTTCACGGTGGTGACGACGATAATGAGGCAAAGCACAGATTCTGGGGAGACTTGGCACAGCAAGCCAAAGTTTGCGCATGTTTCAAACGGAATGTTGAGAAGCATCGATTTAATAGTAATTTTGCTACTAAGAGACAATATGTTGTTGAACTATCAGTGTAATAGTAACTTGGTTACTATGATAAACTTTGTGGCAAGATCAATATGTTATATTGAGAACCATCGGTGTAAGAGTAATTTATTTACTAAGAGAAATCTCGTGGCGATACCAATAAGTCAATTCTAAGTAATTTATTTACTAAGAGAAGGTATATGAATCAATTAGGAATACTACTATCGTAAGTAATTTATTTACTAAGTGAAGAGTTGAGAACGACCTGAGACTCTGAGAGTGATTCATTTACTGAGAGGAGGAACCAAATTAGACTCTCAGAGTGATTCATTTACTGAGAGAAGGAACCAAATTGAGAAGGGCCGAAAATAACCTCGGAGTAATCCATTTACTGAGGGAAGGAATCAATTTGGGAGCATTGGAGTGTTAGTAACTCATTTTCTGAGTGGCTGATAAACTTAGTAATCTTGTTACTGATGGGATAATCACGAAAAAAAGTGCGAGAGGAAATAAAAAAAAAGAGGAAAGAAAAAAAGGTGCGGCCTAGTTCTGCAGGATTGATGGTGTGGAGAACTTGATAGTAACTCGTTTACTTATCGAACTAAAACTACGGATAGTAACTGATTTACTTAACGAAAGAACTTTTTGTGTGGGCTGATGGGTGAGTGTTTGTGCGGGCTGCATGGGGTGGGGGGGTGGGTGGGTGAGGGTGGGGGTGTACGTGAGGGGACCGTTTTAGTTATAGCGCATCCTGGGTGCGGTTTAGCGTGTGTGTGTGTATATATATATATATATATATATATATATATATCTTTTACGTTTTACCCACAAACAAAACTTTTAGCAGGATGAGAGATAAGTCCAACACAACTGCACATCAACTGGTCTATCGAAATATGCATGACAATGAAATTTGATATTAGCTGATAATGTAGTTCAGCTTTGGTATACATCGATTGAAGGATCATTGTCTGCTTGCAAAGACCAAAGATCGAATTTCTGCAGTTATTGGGGCTTACTGAACAACCAATCTTAGTAAGCTAAGCTGGCCTCTCAAGTCTAAAGTCCTAAACAGAGAGAAATGCGAAAAAACTGAACAAGAAAGGGTGACACTATACCACAAATACGTGGCCAGGTGAGCGTCAGCAAAATTATTTACTGAAAATGGCTTGGCGTCATATCTGTGGTGCCACAGGTTGAGGGCTTGTTTAGCTGGTACCGATCGACACATTGCCACATTAATTTGAATATATACCAAGCTCTGCCACAAGTGTGTCCAATAATTTGCTAGCTACATCTTAGGTAAGTTTTGCCAAATAATTTAAACAGGTGATGCACAAGGTTCAGGGCATGTACAACGGCATTTAATAACACCCACAAAAAAAAAACGGCATTTAATAACAGGTTCTGTTCGTTGTCATGAAAGTAAATTTGGTGATGTGAAAAAGGAGAGAGAGAAAAGGAAAACATGGTTGTTATACATGACAACGGTTTAAAGTCGACTCTTATCATTTACCATAGAAAATTTTGTTGCATGGGATGGACACAAGAAAAAAAATAGTAATAAGAAATTATTTTAGTGCATTAATTAATGGTTAAGAGATATTGTTGTCTGTATTACGATAGGAGGATAGTTTATAAGCAATATGTATTATATGTTAACTAAAAGCCCACACCGGGTTCTATCTCTCTTTATACATGCCCTAAGGGTAACATGTTAAAATTGTGACGGCAAACTATATGTTCACCTAAGAAACCGTGACAACGTAAGACATGGAACCAATTCAACTGACCTTAGATGCTCCCGTATATTTCGATTCTAGTGTGGTCAATGAAAACAAGACTTAGTAAATTACTCCGTACAATTATATAATTACAAGAAATCAGATAATTAGGGACCAATCTTAAAAATTTCTTGTCACATTGCCTGTGATTATGACTGGTGTAGTGTGAAAAATCCCTTTTTTTCGTTAATAGTGGCATTCCTTGGTTCCCTTGAAATAGATTGGCATTCAGCAACTCCACGCAAGGACCATAAACCCAACTCCAAACGATGTCTCTCACGCTGATCGTGTTGGAAAGGTAGACACTCATGCACGATCTCTCGCACATATTCCTTCCCCAATAGCGCAAGCTGTCCAATTCCACCAGCCCTGCCGGTGCTATTGGGTATCGGCCACTGCATGCCTCTCACTCAACACTGGCCTCTCCTGCGCCCAATTTCAGCTGTTGTATATCCCCGCTAGCCCAACTCTTGTCTCAAATCCTGTCGCTCATACATTATATGATGAAACGCCTCCTCACTATCCAATGCAAGTGCTTTAATTTGTACAGGATCACTATTTCCAATCTTTCTTATAGTTGCTTCCACATATCGGGTTGGTTTTTTATGAATTGGCACATATGTGTCCTTTCCCACACAACCACCTGATGGCTCAAGGCTAAAACAGGCACTAATGGACATGACTATATCAATGTTGTTTATAAGTATTGATGAGGCACTCATCACTATGGGCATGTGTCTGAACTTTTCAAATTTAGGTCAAAGTGACCAGTGCTGAGTCTGGCTATGGACCAATGCTAATAAGCACCTTATTTGTGCCGCTGCTAACTACCAATTGGCACTGACCATATTTGTACCGGTTTTAGATATGAGCATAACTTTCTCATTCAATCTCGGATTAGAAGAAACTTTATATGAAAATTGTAGCTCTCTGTTTGATCAACTATTTTGTTGTTGACAACTTATTGGTTCAAGTTACTTAAATGTTCAAATCCATGATTTAAATATCACATATAAATGGTCAAAAGACGGAAAATATAGCCGCTACTATACCGTGTATATCTTTTTTCCTTCACATTTACCACTTTTTTTTTCATCAAGTAACTTGGCCATATATTGCAATGGTTTTCTTCACTTGTTACGTGTTTTTTCTTCATCTAGTAACTTGTCCAAATATTGCAACGGCATAGACCCATAAAACAGAGGATGGGTTGGGAGTGTAATACTCTGTTGGCCATGTACTGCTTGGTTTTTCTCGATAGGGTGGTGTTTCGTTCTCTGCACGAGGCTAGGAGGAGTAGACAGACCACTCTGTTTTTAAGGGGATAAGTCCATTTTACACCCCCAAACTCCTGTCTTTGTCTAAAATTCACCCTAAATTATAAAACTGGCTATTCAACACCCTCTAACTATTAAAACCGTTCAATTTATCCCCATATTGTTGACTAGGCGGTTTTTGCCTACGTGGCATGGCAGTCCAATCAAAAATATATATGTAAAAAACATGAGGCCCACATGTCAGATAAGCTTTCTCCTCTTCCTCTCTTCTTCTCTCGATCCATCCTCTGCCTTCTCTCACCGGTGCTGGGGGAGTTGGAGCTCAACCTTGCCGATGCATGCAGCAGGAGGCACTCGGGGAGGTGGAGGGCTGCTAGAGCTCGAGCTCGCCGGTCCATGCAAGGGAGGTGGACGGCAGCCAGAGGTCGAGCTCGCCGGCAACATGGGCTCCAGCGTCGCCTGCTCCTCCACTATCTCCACCTTTGCCTCAGGCTTGGGCTCCGCCACCGCCCCCATCGCCGCTCCCGCCTCCTCTTCCGCTGCCACTGACAAAGATAAGAGAGGAGAGAGACAGGCAGAGAGAA